CTTAAAAATGCGAAAATCCAGCTCATAAACCCACTTTACCTATGCAGCAAAACCATACATTGTAGATTCAGCAGATAGTCCGTGTTGACACTCGTAGCAAACCGCTGAGTCTCTTTTAACCGTTCAATTCCTTCAGCATTCAAGTCAGTAGCTTGCAGTTCAGGGTGTCTATCAACAGGGAAAACCTGTAAAAGTCGGGGAATTGGGACCCATCTGGAAAAATAATGGAAAAGTCAGGGAATTTTTGAAAAACCTGGCCAGTCATGTAAACTGACAGCAGTTCTGTCCGGCCGTCACAAAAATAAGCATTACCATTGATCAAAGCTTAATAAGTCACTCTTCCAACTGCAACTACAGTGGGCCGCTAGAAGAGATGTGAAAAAAAAAAGTGCATAATTGTTGCTTCGTAGTGTAAACACAAAGAATACACTGACTCATAGAACACTAAGTTTATTGATGTTTCGGCACGCAATATGGGAAAAAGCCTTGTTCACAATAAAAGCCATAAGAAAGGCACAGTGTACTTAAGTACGCCTAAATATGTGACGTAAGCAGCGAGAGTACATTGTCAGAAGCATCCCATTACTCCTATTTGGCGTATGCGCAGCCATCTGTATCTGAGTTCCTGGTGCAGGCTAGATACAAGCTACTTTTAAGTGCGGAGCATTTTATCGTCACACCTACTCTCAAATCTGGTGTCGGCGATGGTGTCTACACCCCTACTGTGCATGCTCGCGCCTCGTGCCAACTGTTGGTACTCCCCCCTCGCAAGGCCGACGCAGGCAGGGTCTGCTTGTAAATAATGGTTGCTCGTGCGGCACAACCGTTTAGTGGCCACACTTGATCGGGCATTCACAATTGAGATAAGGGCATCTTTACTTTGCTTTTGCTTGACTTGACGCTTTAACACTAGTAGATGCGATGGAAGCAACAGTATTTTCAACCAGCAGTGGCGCACAACCCAACATCAGTGTCGCACCACGTGTTCAAGGCAACATTTCCCCTTCATTCAATAAATACGAATAGTAAAGATAAAATAACAATTAAGCATTCCCATATCGTACCTAATTACACAGCATTCACGCAATACCCCCACCACTCTGCATCGCATATACTCGAGCCTCGTGCTTTTCATGTTTTCAATATTAAACAGGAAAACATGTTTTGTCGTGAGAAACCCGATTGGCCTCATTGTTGAGTGCTGTTGCATTTTGTACAGCATCTTTATTTACTTCAAGGAAACTCCCCGTTTTCACCAAGCTTCTGGGTCACAAATTGAGACCGGATGTTTTGGGGCACATGGCTCTGATCGAATAGCAAAAATAAAAATTTTGATGGATCAGCCGGGTGAGGCACCCATATTTTTGTCTCTCCCCTACTCAGGATATCCGCTGCAATTGCATTGATCTTGTGATTGTCAGTTACCACTCGGACGATGTCATAACCAAACAACGCTGGCTGTTTTAATGACGACATGGTGAGTGATCCCGGCAAGTTGTTTTTCGGTACAACCTTTGGTGAAGAAGCAGCGAACAGATATTTTATATCTGGAGATCAGGCCACAAAAGAGAAAACACAGCATTGACTTCATAGATTTTCACCATCAGATGCAGGAGCGAGGTGCTTAAGCTCAGGACCTACGTCTGTGTCGCCAAGAAATGCGTCCCTTTGCTTGTTGTAGAGAAGCTTCTGCTTAGTTTTCATTGCGTCAACACCCAGGCTGCAGATTTTGGATTATGAGGTGTCCAGAGTCTGGAGCTCTGCTTTCAAGCATGAGTGCACTGACTGAAGCAGACTTCACCGTATGTATTTCCAAAGAGGCATCATGTGTCGGTTAGCGGGACTGCAGTGACGAATGTAGAGGTTGCATTCCTTACGCGGGAGAAAAGGAATTCAGATTTTGCCGACTGAAGTTGGGAGTGTGTTTATTATGCAAGTGCGTTCATTACACGAGTAAATAGGTATTTCTCAACAAATGCAAAAAGCGCTTCTTTTTGTCATCACCATCCATGGACGCTTCTCTCGATGACTCCGCACTGTCTCCGGCCATACTGTTGCCAACTTCCTAACAGCTGTGATGATATTTCTCTTGAATGCAGCTGAGTACAGTTTTCGATGTCCTGGCATGTTGCACTTTCACGAAGTGAGGTTCACATGTGCGCACGTCTGCTGTCAAGGTACACGCTAAAAAAAACTTAACAATAAGGACAAGAAATGCTGCTATTGCTCGCTTTTTTCACGCGAAGGCGCGAAGGTAACGAAGCCAAGCTGTAGCCACTCGTACATAAAAGGAAGCCGTAACCATGCGGCAGTTATGAAACCGAAACTTCAAGTTTGGTTTTCGAGCAAGTTTTCCTTCCGATCCACACATAGTCCAAAGCGGTAATTTGTAACGCTAATATAATAAAAAGACCTTGTATTTACGGTACTTAAAGTACTCGGTAAGGACCGCCAAGCATTGCTTGGAGGATTCTAAGGGGGACTAGCCGGGTGGCACGGGGTCTCCCCTACGCCTTCTCTGAATCAAAATAAAGTTGTCATCACCATGCTGAATGCAGTGGTTGGCTGCCTCAAATACCATGTTCTCAAGCCTGTTCACAACACTTGCCCCCGTATTCACAAACGCTCCTTCACTCAAGAGCTCTCCTTGACTTGAAAAAGAGCCGATGGGAGTGCCGTCTCTCGGCAGACCAAGTCACTGCATATCAGCATTATTCTGCAGCAATTCTTAAGAAGCGCAGCGTCAATTTTAGCGAGCAGCGGCGCAGTGCTCAACTCAGTCAAGTGAAGGATGGGATTCGAGTCGAGGAGAGTTTCTGAATACGGGGAATAGCATGTCAATATCACCACCACTGCACTGGACAACAGCTGCTAAAGCGGGCGCACAGGTGGGTTCGTTATCACTGTAGTTGCCCTCATCGCCGACTAGCCCATTGTTAACGATTTATTCATGCCAATCAGCATACGATGTTTGGACACCTGCCTCAACATTTGAGTACTCCGGAAATCCTAGTCCGTGTGGGGTAGCACGCACGCCCAGCCTCCCTCTCCTTTTTTTTTACGGCAGTGCGATAGCTTAGTTGCGAGAATACCGGCAGAATGGCCGGCGCTTGCAATTCGCCCCATTCTCGGCGCGCGGAATGGGTTCCCCCCCTCAGCGAGAAAAGGTATTATTCTCGTCAGCGATAGGGAAACTGGGTCAGTGGACAAAACTGGTGTGCGGACGGCTGCACGCCCTCTCTGACACCAGCGAGGAACCAAGGAGGTTGGACCTGCAACCCCCCTGCGAGCCGAGAACATCAACGACCAAGCAGTAAGCATCTACCCTTGTTTTCTGTACTATCTTTTGCGCGCTATTGCTAACGCTTAGCAATAAAGTGTTGTTGTTGACCTAGCCTGTTGCCTTATTCGCCTGAACCTGTGTAGCTGCAATGAGACTAGCTACGGATAGGGGACGTTAATCGTGCACGGTACGACTGTGTGTGGCTAAAACATTAGCTAGGCTTCTGCGTCAGTCGTACATAGGACGGACCCCCTACATCTGTCACCGTCGTCTTTGCCGAAGTCTTTGAGCCGGGCACACATCGAGTCTCCCTCGTCGTCTAGGCAGTTGGAGCTGCACACGTCATCTCAGAACTTCACCACCTTCTTTGTCAAACCCAGCATGTTCAAAGCAGTACCTTATGACTCTCAGTTCCAACTCCTTCCAGGCAAAGGCATGTAAGCATATTGCACCTAGGAGGTTGAACTACTTTTTTACACAGTCCTAACAGGGCAAAACCCACTTGAACTTGTGGTCTCGGTAAATCTTCCTCAGTTGAAGCATCACTTTTTGGTTCATCGGCTGCAATTTGGCCGCTGTATTTACAGGGAGGAAAACGATCTTAACAGCTTTCAGGTTTCCGATTTCACCGTGGGCCAGGAAGTTGGTTACAAAGAGCATTTACCGCCCTTTGGCAGCCAACTTAGTTGAGAAACAACACGTACTTCCCAAATATCCGCCGTCATTCATGCCTTCTTGTAATGCTGGTGTGTGAGGATATCTTTTGTGGGAAGGCGTGCGTTCTTAAAGTGCTTAAGCTTACCTGCCTGGCATATGACGAGCAGTGGAAACTTGTTGTTTTCCCGGCATGTTTGCGCTGAACAATATAGAAATCCTTTCTTTAGGCTGCTTTCTTGCCCGAGACAGCGGTGTCTTTTGCAGCAAATGGTTTCCAAGGAAGCATCTTATAAAATAAGGCCGCTTCATTAAAGTTGTAGAGATCGTCTTCTGCAAACTCCTGAGTCAGCAGTGCTAAAGTATGTTTCTGGTATTCGTCAACGGTGCTTGAGTCTGTGTTGCCGCTTTCCCCACACATTGCCTAGTAAGGTTGTTTTACTCTTTAAATCGAGAGAACCAGCCATTACTGCGAATGCAGCCTTTGTGGCCAATGCATAGTGCCAGCTAAACAGCCATCTCTTGAAGAATGGTGCCGTTTCACAGGTAGATGAGTGGCTTTCGTATGCTGGAGCCACTTCATTAAAACGGCGGCACCGTCCGGTTACTTTGGAAAATGAATCCCAAAGGCCCGAAAATTGCCACCCTGTCATGCACATGAAGTAACGTAACAAAAGGGAAGAGGAAAAATGGTAATAGCAGGAATACTTCGTTAACTCGAAGTTGTAAAAACCAGAGAACATTTTGAGAGAGGCAAATTTTTGAGATAACCGAAGTTGCACAAATCGTCGAGAAAAATAGAGCACTTTTTAGCAAAATCACTACTACTTACCGGCTCTTCAGCAGCAGTTTCTAATGTTTCTTCTCGTGCAAGCTTAAAACAGAAAAAAAATATCACACAAGAGACATTAACTAGCTGGATTTTGCAGCACTGCCATTTTATTTTGTGGAGAAAAACTCCTTAATGCTCGTCTGCTTTGCGATTGTGCTCGGGCCTAGGAAGGCGTCCTCCAGCTGCTTCACGCATCGCATCAGATGATCTTCCCCACCGCTGCACTCCACTTTATTTCAAAGCAAACACAACAAATTTCTTGTTTCTGCAGATGTCGGCACTTTTCGGTGGTTTGTCATCGGCGTCATATCCGCCACCCCCTACATTAGTGGCCGTTTGAATGATTTCGGCATCCGTTATTTCTCCATTCACCGGCACATCCTGCTCACACAGCGTGTACTCAAGAAAAGTCATGTCACTTTCCGCGGTACCGTTACTAGCAAGCTTGATGACCTCCCCACAAAGTTTCTCACAGTCTGTGAAGTCATCTGTCTCCACTTCTGGCAAACTGTCGGCACGTGAAAACCTAGCCTGCACAAAACAGTTGGCGATAGCCATTGCGCGAACTTGCTGCTAAGTGCTGCTGAGAAGATGCACTGTCCCCAGCAGGTTAATTTCGTAACCTTTGTCATTTTCATAAGACAACAAAATTCTATGGGACAGGCTCTTTTGGTAGATTTTTCAGGCAACTTCAATGACACCTTGGCTCATCCGCTGCAGTACTGACGGCAGAAACTCTACTGTCACTGCCTCCAAGTTGTCTATTTTGCCGTGGCCTGGGCATCTGTCAACAATGAACAGGACTTTTTTGTTTTTCGTGGCCATCTTGTTATCAATAGCGCCAATGTACTCTTTGAAAAGAGTTGCAGTCATTCACGCAGCTCTATTGGCGCGATAGATAATTCCATGTGGCAGTCAAGCATTTCTGAAGCATCTGGGTTTCAAAGCTTTGCCAAATATTAGCAACGGCAGCTTTTCTTTGTCTGTGGCATTTGCCCCAAAAAAGACCGTCATCCTGTCCTTTCGTTGTTTCCCTCCCGAGGACGCTCCGCCCTTCAGTGGGAAGGTGCGGCTCGGCAACATTTTATAGAAGAGCGCTGCCTCGCTCAGGTTGAAGATGTCTTTTTTGGCGTAACTCTTTTGCAACTCGGCGAGCCGGCTACTGTGTAAGTTGTCTGCAGTGGCTGCATCGACAGTGCCGCTCTCCTCGTGCACCGACTTCGACACCACATTATTTTTTTTCTTTTTTTTTGAAGCAGTCAAACCAGCCGCTGTTGCAGTTGAAATCTGTATGCCCCATTTGCTAGGCCAGAGCGTGTGCCTTCTCCATCATTAATGCTGTCCTGACGGGAAGGTTGGCTGCTCTGGCATTTCGTAGCCACACCATCAACGCCGCTTCAACCTCCGGAAAATTCGACCCTCGAACCCGCTTCCGCTGGCTGGAGAAGTTGTGCTTATATCCATCGAGCACATTCTGCTTGTTCTTCAGCATCATCAAAAGCTTAGACAAAGGGGTGCCTAACTCCTGCGCCATGGTCGTTTTCGTTCGGTTCTTTTCTCTACTACCTTAATTAGGGCAACCTTCCTTTCTAGTGTTACAGACTTGTACTGCTATGGTGACTCCATGCTTGCTGCACTCACGCTAAGTCGCCCCTTCTCAAAGCCAGCGTTAAGTGCAAACACCGTGTGTTGCCCAGATTAGACTGAACGGAAATCACACCTTCGAAAAACAACGAGCTATGCCAAACAAATGAGAAAAACGACGCGACTGTGCCAATGGAGTGACAAGCCCGTAGAGCCAATGGGGACGAAAATTGGACACGATGATAGCGCCGTCTGTATTCTGTTACCGCTGTCACTGACCAGCAGCGCCGTCTGTATTCTGTAACTGACCAACGCTGAAGTGTCATCCATCAGCGTGGTTTTCATGCTCCAGTGCATGTTCCACCACTTTGAGTTTGAAACCGGCCATGTAGTTAGCGTACCGGCCCATCGTACATCATTCAGCAGGTTTCCAACGAAGTTTACCCTGTGAAACACAACAGAGCAGTAGCGACGCATAGCGACACACAAATGTTTGCTGTTTTGTGTAGCGAGCGCATGGGGTCGACAGCATTGCCATGGCGCTTCTCTGGTCGCTTTGTTTGTTGTTTTGTTAGCATGCCGCTGTATTTGTGTGGTGCTTTGAGCAAGGAGGTTTCTGCTGTGTTGGATAGATGGCTTTCCACTGCAAAGAGGCAGGACTTTTAAATTTTGATCCGCGTCATTCACGCTCACGTTGATCGCAACTCATCAGCATGGTTAAACTATGTTTTAAGTTTTATTGGGAGTTTGATTTGAGACATGATGGTGCATTTAATGTTGCTTCTATCGTCAATGCCACCAGCAATTATGCCGAAATAAGATATGCATATACATACAATAATTTTTTTTTCGAGGACAAAAGGGGGGGGGGTGAGCTCATTATGCCACTGGGTTCATTGCGAGTAAATATGGTACTTCAGGATAGCAATCGCATGTTGCACTTGTTAGGTTACTTACATTGAACTAGAAGGCACGTGAACCCCCGCAAGCCTGTAAATGTCACGTTAAAAATAAATGGTTACCTGTCATTTCGCCAGCAATAATTGAGTCCTGACATCACAAAGCACATTTCATTAGCTAACTTTGTCCAATGCCAACATTCTGAGCCATACTCAGCCTGGTGACCACACCATCTCTCTTCCCTCTACATTACAATTTAAATTTTTGTGGCTGTGGCAGGTATTCACACACACTATTCTTGAATCAGCAGAGAAACCCCTTGAACACACAGGGCTAACATGGCCTGTCGCAGGCAGTTGCGAATCGGGACATGGTGAGTATTTGTCAGTAGAAATCAATTCCGTTATGTGATAAATTGCAGCAGCTAAAACAAGGTGTTTTGTTATATATTTCCTGCATAACCAGCTGGCTAAAATCTAAAATTCGCTCATGTAGTAATGCCTCTACACACACACCAGTCTCATAGAATAAACCTTTAATACTGTGTCCTCTTTTTCAAGCCAACATAATCGATCAAAGGCAGACGGGCGTGTATGTTCAACGAAACATATGACTCCGTGAGCGCTTGTGTAAGGTACCTGGTTACAATGTATAGTAAAAACTTCATGAAGAGGCACACATTACTGCACATACAGTAAAAGCTCGTTAATTCGAACTTCGCGGGGATGCCCAATGAGTTCGAATTAAACCGAATTCGAACTAACGAAATTCACTGAAAAAACAGCAAGAATTGAGATCGGTTTGTTTGAAGATGAGACAAAATATTTATTTGCGAAAGTAATCTGTGATAACTTTCTGCTTCCTTTCTTTGAAAGTGATTGCCATCGCTTTGTTTTCCAATGCGCGAACGTGGCGGAAGGCATCCTCTTCATCTTCCTCGAAGCTGAAGAAGAGGCGCGCGACACGCATAGCCTCCATTACCTCCGAAGCTGTCGGACGCGTCGGCGCCTCATCCTCCTCGTCCTCACCCACGTCGACGACGAGTGCTTCCTCGCCAGTCACCTGGGCGATGATATCGTCGTCGGTGATAGTGCCACAGACCACTGCACTGCGATCTGCATCGACGTAGTCGCCGAAGTTCACGTCCCCCAGCGCATCCCGCAGTCCGGCAGGAATGACGTCGGCCTCACGCTCATCGAGCTCGCCCGCTGTGCCCTCAATGGCCACACAAAAGCCACTGTGGCGGAAGCAATTGGCAACAGTTGTTGCCGTGACCTGATCCCAGGCCCGCACCAACATATGCATGGCCGAGAGCAGCGTCACGTCGTAGCCTTTTGTACCGGCGGCGCACAACACCAAACGCTCCAACATGTGGCGCCTGTAAAAGCATTTCAAGTTCTTAATGACCCCTTGGTCCATTGGTTGCAAGGCTGCCGTTGTGTTCGGCGGCAGAAACGAGAGCTTGATCGCCTTCAAGTCCACATCAACCACGTGCGCTGAGCAGTTATCGACTACCAAGAGCACGCTTCTGTGAGCTAATTCAAACTTGCGGTCAAGCTTTATCAGCCACTGTTTGAATATTTCCCGCGTCATCCATGCCTTGCTGTTGGCTGTATACTCTGCCGGTAGTGTGCGGATGTTCTTGAAGCAACGAGGCTTCAGGGCCTTCCCTATGATCAGCAGCGGTAGTTTTTCTGTACCATCCATGTTTGCTGCGACCAAGACAGTAACGCGCTCTTTGCTTCTCTTCCCGCCAGCACAGGTGTCGCCTTTGTACGTCAACGTTTTACTTGGCAGCAGCTTATAAATAATGCCGTTTCATCGGCATTAAATATATCGCGGGGCGAGTACTCTTGAAGCAGTTCTTGCAAAGCACCGCTTTGCCACTTTGCGCATGTCTCGCTGTTGACTTCTTTGCCTTCACCAGACACAGTGCGGAACACAATCTCGTGTCTCTCTCGGAAACGATGAAGCCAGCCCTCCGAAGCTTTAAAATCATCTATGTTGAGGCGAAGCGCGAAGTTTGCTGCTTTCGCCATAACGATAGGGCCGCTCAGTGGGATGTTTTGGCTCCTCGTTTCCTTGATCCACGTGAGCACTGCGCGCTCCAATTCGGGGTGCTTCGCTGAGCGAAGCCTCTTGCGACTGCCGGTGAACGCATCAGTTGCGTAGGCCTCCTCAATCGCTCTCTTATTCTTGATATATGTTGAAAGAGTGCTTTTTGGGATTCCATGCTTCCTTGCGATTTCAAGCTTGCTTGTTTTCCCACAGTCCACTTCACAAAGGATTTCTACCTTTTCCTTGAGCGTTTGGCGCTCTGTCCTCTTCCGCGAGAAGTCATGTACACTAAGTGCGGTATGCTAGGTCCAGCAGTCGAAGGCAACACCGTCACAAAACCCACGGCACTGAACAACTTCGTAGCGTTGACGCACACGAGGCCTAGCGACTGAATGTGTGGCACACAAAGCACACGGGGAGGCGTCCAACACGACCACCACACGATGCGAAGAGCGCGCGCAGTCGCCCACAGAACACCCACGCGTAGCCTGTCGCAGTCGTGCAATGACGCCACGTGGCCACGTATCCAGGCACTAGATTGGATTGGATTGATTTGCGCTCAGCCCTTGCGCCATCTATCGTAGAGCCGTAAAAGCTTGCGGCGGAAGCATAAAAATACTACCACGCAGCGGCGCGCAGTTCGAATTATCAATAGAGGAGCCGATGCGCGCATGAACTAACGAGTTGGTTAACTCATAGACGCCTATACATTGTGGCCGGACCATGACCATCAGTTCGAGTTAACCCGAAAGTTCGAATTAATGAGGTGCGAATTAACGAGCTTTCACTGTATTTGCCTATGACCTTGTCATTTGGGGCTGTAAAAACGCACTTGAAAAAGTATTTGTGCTCACCGTGATCATTTACTTAAACAATTAACATGTGCAGTCGAAGAGACAAACAAAAAACATGAGCAAGTTCTAAATATTATCCACGTGCGCAAAGTAACTGATGGTGGTATTTTTTGCGAATTATTGAAACAGTTACAAATGATCAGACAATGCATTTCTGAAGTCACTTCCATCTCACAGCTCTTGAAACTATAATACTTCTAGTCTTGTCCGTTCATTCACCCGTAGCATCTATTTGGAAAGGCTGTTTTTGGTCTCTTGGGTTGTAATGAAAATTTGGCTACCATTTCTTTCGGGAGAAAACACATGCACCACTCAGCACTGCTTGCTCTCTCCAGCTGCTGTTTTATGTGTGAAGTACAAATGCCACCCACAACTGACAATGAAAATACTAATTCACAGGCTGACAACAAACATACTAAATGATTGCTTGGTGCTGCATGCTGAATGAGCTCAGGCTTCTACTGGTGATAAGAACACGGGATGTTTTTTTGAGTCGACCAAGACTGAATCTCGGCCTTGCGCAATGATGACAAGGGCAACTTTTCGAGCTGAACACTATGGTACGAAGCATTGTCCATGACAATTATGCTCCGTGGCTCAATGTTCGGTAAAAGTTGTTTTTTGAACCATCTCTCAAAGCATGGGCTATCCATGCCACTGTCACTGGCAATGCTCTTTTTCGCCCAGAAAATGAGAGATGCCCCATTCATGAAGCCATTTTCACTTCTAGCATTGAGGACAATGAGCCGACCATCTTTACCGCTCTGTGCACGAAGCCCTGTTGTGAGACCTTTGTAAAAGGCATCCTCACGTGATGACAAAGTGATGTCCTATCACACATTCTCCTTGGTGTGTACAGCATTCACCCTAGTCTCGTTGAGGTAGTATATCCCTTTTGAAACAGAATTTTTCGCAGCATAGAAAAACATTTTTGGTTTTATTTTCTAGGTAATAACCTTTTGAAAAGCACAAACAAAAATAACGAAGGTGGTGTGTACAGTGGTTTTCATGGCAGAACAATGTCCAGTATACTAGAGACTAGGATTTGTTAGTTGTACATATGAGTACACATGCTCTAATTTGTTTCTTTAAAAAAAATGTTGCATTTGGCTTTTCTAAAGTTTACTTGACTGATACAACACAACAATGTTTTGTTTTGACCCTACAGAATGAAAAAAAAAAAAAGCTTTGCATTAATCACTGAACAAAGAGCGTCGTCTTTGATAATCACATTTTCTTCGTGGAAATAATTAACATTTGCACACTTTTACAACCAGCGAAAATGCATTATTTGTTGTGAAAATCTCGGATGCGGTTCTTGCCTGCCTTGAGACAAATAAAAACAACCCTGCATTCAGAGCACTGAACCTGTGACTTCGACTTGCATTCTGAAAGCCGGAACCTGGGCAAGTCTGTCATCACTTGCAGGTTTGGCCAATGACCTTCCTGGTCGAAATGGGTGTGAGGGTCGGGGATTAACATAGCAGCTCTATGATGGTAAGCGGGAGGATCGCTTACTTCTGTAAATAATCTTCCACAACGTTTTCTTTCCTGCGAACCTTTGATCAAAGCTTCCGCTACCTGCAACCGAAAGTCAAGCAGGCGAAGCACTTCACTTTCCTTGTAGCCTGTCTTTTTGCAATCCTGCTTGTAGTTGAGCCAGCTGTTCACTAAGGCAAGATCAGTGAAGTGAAAAATGACCTTTACAGATCTTTTCATTGTCTTAATTTTGATGTGGTACAGGCTAACGAGAAAGTTGTCCAGGTCGACACATCCCTTGTGTTGTTTGTATAAACCGATGCTTGCCGGCCTTTCTCATGGCGGAAGAATAGACAGGAGGGGAAACTCTGCTCCTTTCCGTGCCGGGATCTTGTCGCCCCAGGGAGCGGCGGCGAACGTCATGGCAGCGCCACCTACAGAACCATGGCTGAACTGCCGCGCCGTAGCAGCGCACGCGAGAAGCGTGGAGCCCTGCCCTTGTCACCTGCTTGCATGCTTGTGTTCGCTGCTCAGTGTACAACTTGGATACACTCGCGAAACGAAACGGCAAAATGTTATGATGTGTTTCCTCTAAGCCAGCCATAGCACATTGGGAGAGAGACCATACCGCGATGGTTTCACAGAGCTGTCCACAAGCGTTGAACAGGTTCACTTTCACTCTTTCATCTTCGCATACGAAGGTAGATGCATTACTCGCAGAAAGATGGCATAATCAAGAAAAAAAAGCATACGGGGTAACCTTTATATTAAAGAAAAAGATAACATTAGAAACGAGAAATTAAGAAAAAAGTTTTTCTTACGTGTCTGTGCTCTTCTGAAATTTGTTTTATGTTGGAACTTGAAGAGAATCGTTCGTTCATGCCAAGCTACAGCAACCAAACACGTACAGCAGAGAACCGAACTTTTTTCACAATGTTGCTTACGTGAAAGTTTGGAGATTGGTAAAATGTTCAGCAAGAACTTCTGACTCATGACTAGTATCCTCTGCCTTCGATCATTTGGCGCTGCTTTCATCGGTAATTTCAGTGATATTCCGGCCAGTTCTTGGCTTCGTTTCTGGGCACGAGTAAGTAAAACCTCTGTTCAAAAACTTAAGGTGTCGCAACAGGGAGCCACAAGAACCTTGGCTGGTCATGGATGTCTCGAATGGTGTGTTGTTGCACCTGTCGGTCATTCTGCTGCGAAAATAATTTTCTTAAGACGTATACGAAGAAACGAGAATGAAGAAAGGGGCTATAGTCGCTTTCTTTCTATTGTCGATCTCCTCGTCTTATAGCCCTCACCCATTTTTTGCTGCTGTTCTTCGTCGTTGAAAGTTTGAACGTATTTTTTTTTCTCTAACGCTGTGTCAAGTGACAGCTTGAACCAAGCGACAATCTCCGCTCTTCTGTTGAATCAGCTGTTGCTGTCTGCTCAGACGTGCTTCTAAAATTCTGTCTTTCTTTCCTGTGCAGTACTGTATGATGCTATTATATTAAAGAACGTGCAGAAACACACATTAGGTGAGTTTACTCACGCGTCTAGCTGCCATTACAGATCATCTGCTTTTTTAAATTCTACCACTTACTTTCTTTCGTTGTCCGAAGAGTGTCTGATCCAACATAAATAAATAAAGATGCGGGCCCGAAGACGCTAGACGTACTTCATTTTGTTTTTAACCGCGCTGGCGTAAAACTTTCATATCTGCATCTAGAAGCATGGTGGAATCGGTGAGTGACAGATGTAGCAGACACCCCGGTTACCTGGGTTTTACTCGGGTGCCGTCAAGGACTGCAGGCGCACGCGCTTTCTCTTGGCTCGAACCGCGGCCTTCTGCAAGAAGCTCCGTGTCGGGCTTGAGGCTTGTTTGAATTCTGTTTTTCATGATGGTATCATGACCAAACATTCCTTTTTTCAGAAGACACTCAATTAATGGCACTGACTTGAAAAATCTGTCGAAGCAAACTGCCTGCAAGGGGTGTCATCCCCCCCCCCCCCATGCTGAGACCTTTGTGCATTGCAAGAATAGGTGTTGTGGTGCTCTTATAAAGTAAAACACCCTACTGTCTGTGTCGGCAACCACAAAGTTCGAGCCCTGTTGGGTTCGGCTTTCCGCGAACATACTCACGTAAGTTAGTTTTTCTAGTTCGTCAACGAATTGGAAGAACTAGCTTTTTTCGTCAACGTAAGCTGCATCTCACCTCGAAATTTTTTTTCACACAATCTAGGAGGAACCTTCCTACACCTATTATTTTCATGGTAGTTGGAGTCATTGTAGCAGACACGCAAAGCATTTTTAATACTGAAAAAAGTCACAGCTTTGCCTGCAAAAGCAAAGCAGTGATTGCGATAGCAACAAATTAGAAGGTCACGCACAGAATGGCAAGCAGATTGAAACGTGCCCCGCATTTCTCATGCATAAAAGACGCACGAAATGTACTCACAGGTACAGATTAATGCGAATAAGCGTCTCAGTTTTTACTTCACTGTGTCTGAAAAGTGCGCCCTTTTCGCAAACAGGGGCTGTGCAACGATTGCAGTGACCTTTGTGCGCCTGGTAACTACAAAAGAATCGTTCCGACAAAACTCAAAGGCTAGCCAAGACGTATGATTCTCCCTACTGCAAGATATATCTTGCAGTAGGGATGCGTACCCTTATAAGGGTACGCATCCTTATTCTCTACGTAGGCAAAAGTACGAGTGAAAGATGAGAGCCGCCACGTGCTTACTGCGCCATTTTGCTCACTGCGCATAATGAACATTTCCGAAATGGCCGCCCCCTACGTGCGTCGGCATGGCGCGTCGGCCATTTCTGCCTATGTGTTTCCCATGTGCGGCACTTCGTACATGTGCTGAGGAGTTCATCTTGTAGTGCATTAGCATCGACCACATCAAGGGTCGACTCCAAAAACTCGAGTGCACAACGATGCCGCTTTCAAAAGAAATGTCATCGCATGTGCGAAAACAGATGGAAATCGGGCCGCATCGCGGTTGTTCGGAGTTCTTGAAACGTGCGTGCGGGACTGGCGGAAACAAAAGCAGAAGATTGTCGACAGCAAAGCTTCACACAAAGGCTTCAGTGGACCACAGCAGGGTCGGCAAATCGAAGAGCTGCTCGGTGAGTATGTGCTTGAGCAGCGATTGAGCAGCGAGCGACACAGTGGCCCGTGACGACAGAACTGCTCCATGGGCAGGTTATGTAGTTAGCCTTAAAGAAAGGGCTAATGCGGAGCCAGTTTAAAGTGAGCAGATGCTGGCTAACTAACTTTATGAAGAGGAAAGTCTTTTCCCTCCGAAGGCGAACGGGCATATTCAAAATGTTTCCGGAGGAGTACGATGAAAAGCCTCACAGTTTTCAGAGGTTCGTCCTAAACTTGCGGCACAACAACGGCTACCTGCTTGGGCAAATCGGGAATGGCAATCAGACGCCTCTTTACTTGGACATGCCTGGCACCACAACCGTCGAGAAGAAGGGGGCAAAGCAAGTTCGCGTGCTGACATCGGTCCACGGTAAAACTACAGTGACGGCAATGCTCTGTTACACGTCAGATGGGCACAAGCTTCCCCCATACCTCATATTTAAATAGAAGACGCTCCTGAAAGAAGTCGTTTTTTCGAGGTGTGTGATCGTGCGTGCCAACGAGAAAAATGGGTGCGCGTCGCAATCGATGTCTTACATTTTTTTTTTTTGTCGTGGAAACCGGGTTTGCGTTACAATCGAGGGGGCGGTAGAATCAAGTAAATACGGTATGTCAGAAGGGTTTCGGGCTCTTGACAAGGCCTTTCAGTTGTAGGGCTTCCATCTTGACAGAGCCTTTCATTTGATATTTCACTGATGTCAGTCGGAGGTGAAAACGTTTGTGCCGTCCACGACTTTGTTGCTTTTTTCCATGAGCGCTCTGGCGGAGACCTCTTGCATCCCTTTCGTGTTTGTCGCTTTCTCGTTCACTGCACGCATCTTCACTAGTTTCCTCGGCGTAAAGAAGGGACTCTGGCTCAAATTTTCCGCTTCATCACCCGAATTTGAATCGACATCAAGATCGGAGTCGTCTCCAAATAAAAGCTCCTGAATTTCCTCGTCAGTGAACTTTCTTTCTGAAAATAAGTCCATAAAATGCAGTTAAATATAAATTTTTCAATAAAATCTCGTCATTATCAATTCATTTTTTACATTACAAATGAAGAGACTTCATATTTCAGTCAACAAAAATTAAAAATTATGCACAGCTGTTGCACACGGCGCTAAACACAATACATGTCAGGTAAATCCTGGTGTCCAGTGTACTGGACATTAATATAATTTAGCACAGCAAGCGAAATTCACATTTAAATTTTCACAAAATTGTTTCTAGGAGACATTATGTAACTCACATAATTAGAATTATTTCAATTGTGCAAAGAAAGAGCTTTCAAAAAAATCGCCTGAGCAACCCCACCCCCAAGCGCGTCTTTGCTCGTGGACGACGCCATTATTTTGCAGAGCCCCTGTTAGAAAATGCTGCTGTGAGAGGAACTATCCTAAAAAAATATTACTCGACTTTTATAGAAGCTGGCAAAGTGTTTTCGGTTTCGATTGGGGCTTTGCCTGCTTTTCTGCACCACTTCTTTTCTTATGTTCAGTACACTGGTTGCTGGGTTGGAAAGGGATAAAGTCCTGCAACATCAAGAGAAATATTTATCGGGTGTCTGTTTTTAATGAAAGGGGTCAGTTGAGACAGAGTAAATTTGTGATGCACATTTAGTATCATTCTACCAGACAGGCAGATACTTGCAGTTTCTGGGTAGTACTGAAAAATACAAAAAAAAAAGTTAGTGCAACGTTTTTACTTGTTTGAATAACAGCTTTTTTTCAGACCCTTCCCAGCTTCACTAGAAGATGCCAATACAGTCGACGACTGATTTTTCGGACCCTCAAGGGACCGCGAAAATGTCCGAAAAATCGGGCAGTTTGAAAAGGCAAATGTGCCCCCAAAATGCTCATTTTATTGGTTACTATTGAGATGGAGGGCGGAAACAGTGATCGATCCACTTCTAGACCATGCTTCGCTTCCATGCAAGCACGTCCGCCCGCATTTCGGCTAGAGTTTCCGTGTCACTGTACGCTGACGAAAGGGTTGCGATCGCTTGCATCAGCTCGGCTTACGTCCGCTGTGCTGTTGCAGGTAAGTCGTTGTCGTCGTCATCGTCACTCTCGAACTCCGCAAGCACTTGCCGAACGATTTCCTCATCCGTGAGGCCAGCGCACAGTTCCAAATCGTTGTCCACACACGCAAACTCGGAAAACGAGACATCTGATGGAATATCGACGCCCGCAGTGCGAAGGTCGTCGATAAGCTGCTCACTTCCCAACACGTGGTCGACGACGCTGTCCTTGTCCAAGGCGGCCGACTCGCTATTCAACACAAATCCCGCATGGCGGAAACAGTTGCACAGCGTTCTCGATGCCATCGACTTCCACACATCGGCGAGCATGCTAAGTGCCCCAAGCAAATCGACCGAGTACGCTTTTCCGCTGTCAAGGCACACCACCGCATGCGAAAGCAAGCGTGATCGATAGTTCACTTCGAGAGTGCATATGACACCCTGGTCCATCGGTTGTAGGACGCTTGTCATGTTTTGTGGCAAGAGCACGACGCACACAGCCTTCAAATAGGTAATGTGCCCGTGTGCAGCGCAGTTGTCGACAAACAACAAAAATTTTGCGGCCTTCTAAATCAAGGTTGCGGTCCAGTCTTCTCACATAGCTTTCAAAAAGCTGCTGAGTTACCCAGGCCTTTTTGTTGGCCTCGTACAAAACAGGCAGGGACTTTACACCTTTGAAGCACCTCAGAGCTTTCGACTTGCCGATGACGAGCATCGGCAGTTTTTCTGTGCCCGACATGTTGCTACCGATCAGTACAGTAACTCGCTCATTACGGTGTTTGCCACCATGGCAAGGGTCGCCATCTAAGGCAAGTGTCTTTTCTGGCATCAGCTTGAACAAAAAAAAGCCCGGACTCCTCGTCACAGTTGAAAGTATCATCTGGCGAGTACTCTTGTAAAGGGACTGCAGCTTTTCAGAGCGGCAATTCGCAACGATGCTGAGGTCAACAGCTGCACTTTCGCCGCACAGTTTTTTAAAACTGAGATCAAAGCGCTTCTTGAAGTTTCTTAGCCAGCCGTCACTAAACTTAAATTCTTCAATGTTCATTTGAAGCGCCATCGTTTCAGCTTTCTGTTTGAGGAGGCTCCCGGAGACGCGAACCTTGCTGGCCACGATCGACTTCAGCCAAACGAGAAGCGCCTCCTCGAGCTTAGGGTAGGTGCCTTGGCCGACATTCTTCTGATGACATCCAGTAGACTGTTCCGCTGCCTCCAAAATCTTCTGCTTATTTTTGATGTAGTCCGAAATAGTCTGTTTAGAAATATGGAACTCTTTCGCAACGTCTGTCCGCAATCGGCGACTGTCAACGAGCTTGATGATGGCAGCTTTTTTTGCCATTGACATGGGGAAATACTTTCCACGCTTCATCGGAGCTCTCGAGGCCGACGACATCAGCGATCCCTTATCCATTCTGAATCAGCTCTTGTAGCTAGGCAACACACATGGCACATGCACAGGCGAACAGTCAGTCGATTCGGTCCTGTCCATCCAACGGTCACAGCAGAGAAGAAATATTGTTCGGCAGCGATGCTGATGTGGAAATAGCCTCGATCCAGCAGTTCGAGGTAGCCACCCTAGTGGAGGCTGGCGGACGCCGCGCGCACGGCCAGCACCGGTTCGAGGCTACTGGATGAAAAAGTAAATAAGCAAGATCGCGGCGGCGGCGCGAAAAATGATGGCGGTCGGCACGACTTACGCTTGAAAAGTCCGAAATATCGAACAGCCCATCCTGAAGTGTCCGAAATTTCAAGCTGCAAAATACATTGAATTTATAGGGCATTTCCTGGTGCCAAGTAAATGTCCGAATTATCGAGCATTTCCGAAAAATTAGGCATCTGAAACATCGGTCGTCAACTGTACGTACTCAGGCCTTCCTTGCTTAACCAGAATAACAGGCAAAATACAAATAAGAGCCACAGATGCAGAAGCAAGCCACAAAAAAACAGTAATTATTTTACTATCATTATGAACATGAGCCATTCCTCTTCTTACTGAAGCAAATTTACCAACGAAACTTGTAATGCTCATTTTTTGGAAATTTTTACTTGAGGTTCCTATTAGCACTTTCAAGCCATAAAAAAAAATTGCAAATCAAGATGAATGGCAGCATGCATGAGGATGGGTGAATTGAAAATTAAATAATGTAGCGGTACAAGAATTTTCATCAATATTTCCTCTTCGTACTGCTTCAACTCTGAATTTTACTTGTGACATTTGTGTTTAAATTGGTATCATTGACATTTATGACTTTGCCCAACAAATCGAAGCAGAAACAGTATGTAGCCTTTCTCTTTTCGCATTTCGCGAATAATCCGCAGATATTTCCGCCGCCAAACAATGATGTTGTTCCTTTCCAGTTGTGCACAGTTACGTTTTCGCTTCCGAAATGCAAATCCGATGTCATTCAGAAGCCTGCGCATTGTTCTGACAATCAGTTGCTTCTGTAGTCCCATGTCGTTTTTGCTGATTTCCTCGCTGGGGATCTTTTCTGCCGTTCACACCTTGTTGCAAATGTAGTAGTGATGTACTTTCTGGTGAAGAGCAGACAGGGTAACGCTATTGTACTGCTTCACTCTTGTTTTTCCAGCTACTTTTGCTGGTGATTCAGCCACAAAATTAAGCCTTTTACGCTTTGGGGACCCAAGGGTACCCTATGAAACATCCGCCTTGAGCCGTGCGACAGTACACTCGCTCACACTGGTAAGCTGGCTAACTGAACGATACACTGAAGCGACAGAGAGTTCCTGTTGCGTCTGTCTCACTTAAGCAAACACGTGGCACGTTGCCAACCAATTGCTTGGTTTGTTTCGACAACTTTTGGTACTCAAGCTTCTTGAAAATCCTGTGCGGCGAGCGAAGTGGTGAGCAACCGGGGCAAGGAGGCACTGGTGACGTGGAGGCTATTTCTTTTTTTTTTTTTTTCTCTGAAGGGATATGGTGAAAGAAGAGAGCCAGTGTGGCTGCTGTGGAGAATGCAGCAACTAAAGAAAACATGAGAAATCCAAAATTTAACGCTATTTCACATGATATCAGTAATAATTATCAGGTATTATCAATTAGCAACTAAAAATTATAACTGCACTTTTTTAAAGGATTAGGTTACTCACGAAAAACTTGAGAGTTTTTTTTGCGGAACTACTTCCAGCTGCACAGCGACACTGATTAAACAACGTGGTTCGCCTCTGTAGTTTTGACTGCACTGCCACAGAAAGTTGTATAGGCAAAGATGCCAAATCAACTGGAACAGGTCAGGCCAGTGGATTTTCGAAGCAGACAGAGTGAGAAATCTATGATTACAGCAACTGCTGTATTTTACTTGCGTAGCTCCTAAATAGTTTCCAAAACAAGCATTGCCATCAATAGTCATGGTGCTGGGTCTAGTTGCCAAACTTGCTATTGCCTACACAAAGTTAACGACCAAAGCATGGTTGACTCTGGATTATAGCCATTTCTTTAATCAACAAAGCGGTGGACCTTCTGGATGCGCTTGATTACCATCACCTTTAAAAGCAAGGTTTTATAACATTGTACCTGTTTTGCTTGTTGTGAAGGCTCCAACACCCTGAATAGATAGTTTGCAAAAGTGTAGTTCACAAGCTATTTTTTTCATAGTCTTAGTGCTATTATGGTTGGAGTTGACATAAGCTTCAACTGTGCCATTCTTCTTAGAGCTCCTGGGTATGAATTAAAAAAAAAAAGTCGTGCTCTATGCTTGTTTATTATGTACTCGTCATGCAATTTCACTTCTCTGCTTTCAGTGCAGCCCTAATGGCGACTTGCAGCATTTGTGAAATATTTTCCATTGATTTGTCAACCTTGCTCACGGAAGCTTTTTACAAACTGCACTCAGCTTCGGCCACTGAGCAGCCTTGCAAAAAGTGCGGTTGGTTTCACTGTCGCCAGCCTGACATCACCAAATGCAACTGCTGCTTGCATGCTGTATCTGAGGACGTAATCGGACACACCAGCGGCAGCGAGCTGCTTGTATGTCGGATTGCATGCAAGTGGCGAAGATGCATTTGTTGGGTGCGACACATCTAGCCTTCGACTATCGCAATAAATTTTTTAAAGGTTTCCTATGGACAACACATCCTTCTATGTCCAGATATCTCATCTGTCTACATAAGTAACGGGCATATAATGCAACTGCGCATGACTTTGGTGCATAGTTTTCAGTTGCAGGCAGTATTTCTCACATATTGTAATAGGTGCTGTATGATCTTATCGGACCTTTGCGTCATTACACACCTTATGTCATTAGACTCATCAGCCTAGAAACAACATCGGCTGACATTGTGATTCCTTGTCGAAAGGTCTCTGGCGTAAAAAAAATGAATGGTTCCTCACATTACTGACATGATATTGTTGACAAGGGCAAAAAGTGACTGCGACATGCAGGGCACACCAATGAGCGTCCGAGGTGGCAGCGGTAGAGCCAATCTGGTGGGGTTCGAACAGTGACCCTGGCAGCCGCCCCACGTTCATTATGTGCCAGGTCTCTAAAAAGCTTTAACCTTATGAGGAATGGCAGTCATCGTTTCAAGTGCACCACGACAAAGCAGACCCTGACGACTGCCCTCACGTTTTGATTTGTGTAAGGTCAATAGGTGAACAAGCTTGTGATTAAACTGTAATGATTTTCAAAAAGAGGGCATGCAAACACATACATGAAAAGAATTGAAGACACCACATGCACCGACCAATAACTGGAGAGGTGCAAAATGGTGGAAAAGGAATAAGGCACGAAAACATATTTGTGCAGCCCATGAAATTGGCAAACCTATCAATGTGGCACATGTGGAGGTCTACAAGATCGATAACTGCTAAAGCGTTTTATTTCGCCTTTGTGGAAGTTAAATTGGTGATCAGATCACACATGCGCTACTACTATTATTGGTATGCTATGCCTCAATCATAAACATGTTTTTTTATTCCTATGTTGGTACAAACAGTGCACATTCATCGAATTTTGGTGTGCACCTACACTCTCGACGATGTTAAACATTAGAAAGGGAGCCTCCGGTTAGTGATCTATGTTTCAGTAATATCTGGTCAGTGCAGTGGAACGCCTGTACTATGTAGAAGATGCTGCAAAGGGACCTTATACAGCACACCTGTGCGGCAGTCAGGGATTTTGTTGGTGTATTTTATAAAACAAATACTAATGGTTCGCTTCTTGTCTTTCGCCCTCTCATTCTTTCTCTGCACAGCAGCGCAAATGTTCCATAGCTTATTAGCTGTAAAAAACATTATCACAATAGTTACTTCCTGCTTACTTAAGCCTGTGATATTTCCGATGAATGTACGGTAGCTGAAAGTCAGCGCTTAGATGTATCTGTCAATGTTTTGGTACTTGTCCCTGTGCTGTTCTTCATGGCGCCGACAAAAGAAAAAAAAAAAACAATAACAATTTCATATTTATGCTACTGGTTTGTTTACAGTGAAAGGTATATTCTGAGACCACGACATGGAGTGTAGTTGTCCGCCGCCGGTGCCTGTAACCACTATTGTGCGAAATAAAAAATATTGTATGAGATTTTACGCCCTAAATCCAACATATGGTCATAAAAGGCGCGGTATCAGAGGGTTCCGGAAACTTGAACACCTGTGGTTTTTTTTTTGTGCACTGACAATGCACAGTACACGAGCCTCTACCATTTCGCCGGCATCAAAATGCGACCACCGCGGCCGGGATCATACCCGAGATCTTTGACCTAGCAGTTGAGCACTGTAGCCACTGTTCAGACCAGATGGTATTGGGACAGTCAAGATGCATGATAAATGTTTTGGACCTAAGGCTAGTGTTTCGCAGTGGCTAGTTTCTAAGACAGCTGTTGTATGAACTAGGAAGTTTTTTTGAGGGGACACAGTAGGAGAAAACCTTGCGCTTGCATAACTGAAGTTCAAGACCTTTTATCCTTCATAAGAATTGTGCATGTTTTGCTACCTTCAACCAGTTGGCACACAGCTGCATTGGCAGTTATCACGGGGAGTAAAGCAATAATAGATTGTTAAGGCATTTAACTGGGCTTGTGAGTGTTCACTGAAAGCTTCAATATTACTAGCAAACATGCACAAGGACACTAATCAAATCTAATCAAATAAAATCAAATTTTATTTCAACATTTATACAATGTTGAGGACCATGAACAAAAAGCCAGCAAGGCTTGACGAGGTTCATGGCTCCAATTTTCCAGGCAGAAACAAACAACAAATGAGAGCAAACAACAATTAAACATGAAATAGATTTTATAAATTATAAGCTAGTGACACAACTCATGATACACATTATACAAACATATAAACATTACTTGTCATTATTCATACTGAAAAACTCAAAAGTAGGCAAAGTAAATTTCATATGAGTGACGATGCAAAAGTTGATAAATAGAATACGTAGAAAAAGTGTA